GGATGCTGCTGGTTGCTCTCGGATGCTGCTGGATGCTGCTGGTTGCTCTCGGATGCTGTTTGTCAAGTTGCCATGTGTGAAGAAATTAGCTATCCTGATGGTGAAGATCAAACTTGCCTCAAAGAACTTGATGCCCCTCCCTTATCAGCAGGAAGTGGTCCAAAAATCTCTTCGTACCCTTTCTCCTCTATCTTTCTTTCTCTAATGTTAGGGGGTTAAAAAGGGTGGAGGAGGGCTTAAGAGAGAAAAAGGAACCACAAAAAAGTGGAAACTGCCAGCTACAACAGGGGCTGGGACTCAGCAGTTAAGAACACCTGTTGGGGACCAGCAAACCCAAGTTCTGTTCCCAGCACTCACATTAGGTGGCTCACAATGTGGGAGGTAAAGCTGGGGAATCAGGAGTTCAAGTCCAGCCTGGGCTACATGAAACCCTGTTTCAAAAAAAAAAAAAAAGTAAAGTAAAGTAAAATCAACCAAGAAACAAAGCTGGGCAGTGCTAGCTCACACCTTTAATCCCAGCACTTGGGAGGCAGAGGCAGGTGAATCTCTTGAGTTTGAGGACAGCCTGGTCCACAGATTGAGTTCCAGGACAGCCAGGGCTACACAGAGAGATCCTGTCTTGAAACAGAAGAAAGGAAGGAAGGAAGAAAGAAAGAAGGAAGGAAGGAAGGAAGGAAGGAAAGAAAGAAAGAAAGAAAGAAAGAAAGAAAGAAAGAAAGAAAGAAGGAAGGAAAAATTAAAGCCTTGAGTTTTTAAAATCCTCAGTGTTACAAGCTCCATCCATAACTGAGTATGCTGGGTCACATCTGTTAATCACAGCACTCAAGAAATTGTAGGACTGCAGCCAGTTGTGAGGCCAGCCTAGGCTACATAGTGAGTCAGGACAACCTGGGCTACTTAGCAAGGCTCTGTCTCAAAGGCTTCCTGTGTAAAGGTCTTTGAATACGAAGAGACAAGTAGGAGGTTATGTTTGGTGTGCCTCCTTACCCTCAGTTCTGCAAGCGTAACACCCTATCCTGTGGCAGCTGCACACACCTTTCTGCTGAGGGCCACAGCGTGTCAATAACAGGACTAGAGGAAGAGAGATGCCGGGGGATCACATGACAGAGTGCCTGCCCAGCGTCCCACCTCATGTGCTGGCCAGACCTAGAAACTGAGCAAGGGCCCAAACACTGAGGGCAGAGTAAGCAGCATCCAGCATCATCTTCTACACAGCAATTCTCCTTTTCTAGTCACGTCCTCTGTGGCTACTCTTTCAGCGCGTCCACAAAGGCAGCATTCATAGGAGTGACCCAGATGTCCACCTTGGAAGATGGGTTTCCAGCTGAAGGAGCTAGACAGATGGCTGCGCAGGTGAAAGCATTTGCTTCACAGGCAATGACCTGGCTCCGGGCCTGGAACCCCTGTGGGAGGGAGAGGACGGACTCCTGGACATTGTCTTCTGACCCCCATGTGCATCTATATTCACAGCATAAATGAAAATCAAAGTTACCGTGTAAATGTCATCAAAGAAGTGATGGTTGCCAGGGTGGCAGAGCCTGTGACAGAGCAATTGGCCAGTGTGTGTGAGGTTCTAGGTTCAATACGTGCCACCAAAAAGGGGAGAAAACAGTTGAGGGTATAGTTTTGAGGCCCTTCCTGAGCAACAGCAGGGGTGGAGACCTAACTCTAACATACACAGTTGGACAGTATTTCATTGTAATGGTGCTATTTTAAATGTTACTGCGTTTTGTGTGTGTGCATATGACATACACAGAGGCCACACGGCAATTCCCGGGTTGATTCCTTTCAGTTTTATGTGGCTGTTGGGGCTTGAACCCAGGTCACACCAGGCTTGCATGGCAAGCGTATTCACATGCTAAGCCCTCTAGCCAGGCCATTAGGCATTTTCCTTATTCATCCATTAAATCAGAGTCAATGGCTAAAAATTCTAGGTCCAGAAGCCTTTGGTTTCCAAGCTCTCTTTTTTTTAAAGACAGGGTCTGTTTCTGTGTGTAGCCCTAGCTCTAGTCAGCTCTAGCCCTGGAACTCCATGTGTAGACCAGGCTGGCCTGGAATCCAGATGACCCCCTGCCTCTGCCTCCCTAGTGCTGGGATTAAAGACATGTGCTGTGCCTGGCTGATTTCTAAGCTGGTGACTCACTGAGTCACCGCTGACTACAGACATTCCCCAGTCCTCTGCAAGGCTCTGAAAGGTTCTGGAAAGGTCTAGAGCAACTTGACAAGCATGGGGTCTTGGTGGCCCCTCTGGGACCTGCTTTTAACTCCATTCCCTCAACCCTTCTTTACAGACAATGAAATAGACTCACCACTTTGTGAATGAAGGCAAGAGTCAGCTGCAAGGTAGATACCAGGACTGAGTTTATGCCCTGCTGGACCTTCCAACAACTTGGCTTGAATGCCTAGCTGCAATCCCAACACTCAAGAACCTCTCCTACCCTAAAACACCCATCTTGTTCTCCAAATGAATCTGTACAGAAAAGCCCAGAGCGCTCTGCCCTGGCACTGCACGGTCTCCTGGGTGCAGTGTATTTTACTGTGCAGGCTCCTAAGCTTGTCTCGGAGCCACCCCTCCTTTCCTAGAAAGCGGTGGGAGGGAGAGCCTCTACGATGCCCATGGCCAGCAGCAGACACCTGCGCTGCTTGGTGAGAAAAGCCTGGGACTTCAGGGTCTTTTCTCTACTTGGCAGAGCTGGCCACACCCCAGAATGTAAGCAAGTGCAAAGCCATTAGAAAACCTCAGCCTGTGCGACTGGTGCCTGTCCTAACGACATCGGGCCGGAAACCACGGCAACTCCAGACTTCCCAGATTAGCCCCTGGTCTGTCCAGTTCAGCTGTTTGCTGATGCCCCAGGCTTTGCTTACTCAGCTCTGGCATGTGCAGTTTGGGCACCGTATGCCTGGGTGCATCTCCTTTCAGCTTGTGCCCTTGCCCGCCCTCCAGCTGCTCTTTCCCGGGAAAGCCTCGGGGGCACTTAACTGTGGGAGGCCTTTCCAAAGAGGCCCCCACGGGTTACGTGGTTCCCTCCCTCGGCACAGATGAACCCCTTATTTATGTTAGCCACTGTTGAAGC